ACTTTTATCACTTTCCACACTTCCCCCCCACTTTTCTACCACTACTAAATACTATTTCCCTTTAAATCTTCCCACCACTACTTTTACCCACCCCCTAAACTAAACTACTGCCCCCTGATCTACCCATTTCACTGCCACTTTTTCTACCCTTACCACTTTTCCCCTACCCAAATTTTTTCCCAAAACCACTACCTCTACCACTTTCCACTTAAATACCAATACTACTTCTTCTACTAAATTACTTTCCTACCACTACTATTACTAAATTCCACTACCCCCTACTACTCCACTACTACCTACTTTTTTACCACTACCCATACCAATACCCACTTACTTACCAAACTACTACAATTTTCACTACTACTACTTCCCACTTTTTACTCCACCAATACCCCTAAATACCACTTAAATTTCTACCACCCCCTTAAACCCCAAATACCACTACTTAAATACCACTAAATTTTACTACCACCCACACTTACTGCACTGTTGCTTTCTTTAAAGCTTTCTTCTACTACTGAAATTCTGCCCACTGCTAAATACCCAACCTTTTCCATTACCCTTTCCACTACCAAATACCCAATAATAAAATTTTTAAAAGACCCAAAAATTTAAATTTTTGTTTTTTTTTTTCAAAACAGGTTAAATCAAAGGGTTTTTTTATAAAATGAAACCCCGTAAAAATGCGCTGGGGGTTGGGCCAATATTTTAAATTTTTTTTGGGTTTTTAAAGGTTTTTGAGCCCCCCCACCCCTTAGTTTGACAATTTAAATAAATTTTTCTAGTATTAAATTTTTAAATACTCCTAATACCCCTTCTACTACTCGTGCTATTTCTTTGGGTATTAACAAATATTTTTTAAATACTGGGATTGTGGCTACTAATTTTTAAAATAAATTTCTTTTTTTAAAAAAAATTGGGAAAACATTTTCAAGCGAAAAAAGCTGAAAAGGGATTGTATGAATAATTTTAAAAAATTTTTAACCATTAAATATCATAATTATGAGTCTTTAAAAGAAAATTTTATTTCTGAGGAAAAAAACTTTCTTTTCGTTTAAATTTTTCTATTGTAAAATTATGTTTTTTTGATTTTTTAAATTTTTACAGTCGATGTCCCTGTTTTTTTGGGAAAAGCCCAATGGAATCAATTTTTTGTTTTTCTTTTTCAATTTAAAATTAAAAAAACATCCCATTGTTTTTTCATGGGAAAACCCGTTTCCCTTTTTAAAAGTTAACTTTTGTTTGTTTCTCCTCTTTAAACGTTTTAATTTTTTTTTTCCGAAAAAATTTTTTTTAAATTTTTTATCAGTTTGGGAATTTTTTTTGTTGTTTTTGACGGTTGGGGTACTTACTCGCACAGCGCGCAAAAGATTGCCTGTATTTTTTTGAAGAATGCTATTTAATTTTCCCTCAGGTAAATCCGTCCCCAAGATTGGTTTCCATGTTTTGGGGCCAAAACCCCAAAGAAGAATTTCACGCCAAGGAATATTTACGATTCTCGGTTTTTCGATTTAAACGGTTCTTTAAAGTACTCCAAAAGTGAGGCAACTGAACCCTCCCTAAAGGCAACTTTAAACCCTTAAAATAAAAAAATTATACAAGTTTATTTAATTTTTTCCCATGGAAAAATGGTGCAAAATTTAGTCAAATATATTTCATTTTTTTTTTAAAAAAAAAAACAAAAGGGAAATATAAATAGAAAACCCAAAGTTTAAACTTTAATTTTTTTTGGGGAAAACCCCTTTTCCCCCATTTTTTTAAAAATTTTTAAACCAAACCCCTTTTTGGGCTACTAAAAATTTAAAAAATTTTTGGGAAAAAATTAATTCCGGAAAGAATCTTTTCCTTTTGGTTAAAAGAAAGGTTTTAAAAAAATTTTAGGGTTTAAGGCAAAAATTTTTTTCTTTACTTAAATCTTTGGTTTCAATGAAAAAATTTTTTTTGAAAAAAAAATTAAATTTAAAAATTTAACTTTTTTTTTTCAAATTTTTGTATAAATTTTCAACATTTTAAAAACAAAAAATTTTTTGGGCATTTTATCAAGGGTTTTTGGAAAATATATCCAATTTTTTTTGTTAAACGGAAAAAAAATCCCCCCTTATTTTTTTGAAAAAACTTTGGGGAAAATATTTTTTTTAAATTAAAATCATTTTAACATTCCCCCCCAAAAATTAAGAAAAGGTTTTCCCCGGTTTTTCCTTTTAAAAATTTTCTCAAGTTTCCATTCAATAAAAATCAAAAAATGGCCTGGGGCCCAAAGCAAAGGGGAAGGTTTAATTTAAAACTTGTTTTTCTATAAAGGGTTTTTCCCACCAATTTTAAAAAGTTCCCCTTTTAATTTTGTTTTTGGGAAAAAGATTTTTGAACCCCCGGTTTTTTTAAATTTTGCCCAAATTTTAAAAAAGATTTCCCTTTAAAATTTTGGGGAATTAAATTGTTTAAACGGGCCGTAAAAAACCCCCCACAAAAAATGGGGTTTTGGCCGAGGGGGGAGCGCGCCCCGCTTCGGAGGGCTGATTTAAATCCCCGTTTGGCCTCATTTTTTAAGTTTAAGCAAAAAACATTTGGGGGTTTAAAAGCTCGCCAAATTTTTACTTTCAAAACCAAAAGGTTGCAAAAACCCCCCTTATGGTTTTTTTTCCAATTAGACGTTTTTTAAAATTTTTATTAAAAACTTTTTAATTCCCCAACAGCCCCGTTATCAATTTTTATCCCCCTTATTAAAAATGTAAGGGGAAAAAAACCCGGAAAAAAATGTTTTTTTTAAACAAAAAAAACCGTTTTCGCAGAAATTTTCTTTAAGTTTTTGGTTTTTTTTTATTAATTTAAATTTTTATTGTTTAAATTTTTTAATTTTTAAGTTTAAAAAAATAAAAAAAGGGGGAAAAAATTTTTATTTTTATTTCCGTCATTTAAGAGTACTTTTAAAGGTAAAAAAAAACTAAAAAATAATTTTTAAAATTAAAAGGGAAAATTGTTAATCCCTTTTTTATCCATCTTAAGAAATTAAAGCTTAATTTTCCCCAATTTTTTTTTCCCTTTTTTTAAATTTTCTTTTTTAAAAATCATTTAAAATTATGCTTGGGTTTGTTCTAAATTTTGTTTTTAAAATAAACACAACCCAAAATGGGAAAAATAATTTTTCCATTTGTAATTTTTTGCCGAAAACCCCCAAATTTAATTTTTTAAAAAATCCGTTTAAAAACAAGATAAAGGGTTTTTTGAATTTAAAAAAACTCCCTGGGATTTTTTGGTTTTTCCCAAAAAAGCAATATTTTATTTTCTTCCCAAATATTGGGCTTTTAAACCCAAAAAATATTCAAATTGGGCCTTTTGGGGGCGTACCCAAAAAAATAAATTTTTGGAAAATTTTCCCCTTTAAAATTTAAAAAAGTTTTTCCCTTTTTATTCTTTTAGCTTTTATTTATTTTTAGGATTATTTTATGTCGCTTAATAAAAAGAAATTTAAAAAAATTTGAAAAAAATTTTTCCCCCTTTTTCCTATTCTTTTTTTTCATCATTTTCTTTAAAAAAATTTTTTTTTCTTTTTTAATTTGGTGATTTCCCCAAACTTTTTGTTCAAAATTTTCAAATTAATTTATGGCCTTTGGGTTCCCAAAAATTTTTAACGTACCATTTTTAAATTTTACGGGAAAACCCAAAAAATAAAATTTTTTGAAAGGGAAAAAAGATCCCAAAAATGAAAATTTCCCCCGAATTAACCCAAAAAAGGCCCTCTACCAGAAAAACCCATTTCCTCAATTTTGGGACATTCTATTCTTTCAAAGGGGCAGTATTCCCCGGAATTTTTTTTTACCGGGTATTTTCCATTCCCGAATGGTAAAAATAATTTTTTTTAAAGGGATAAAGATTATTTAAACGCCCCTTGGGTTTGGAAAGCTGGGAAAATGGGATTTTTAAATTCCCCGGGTTTCCCTTTAAAGTTTTTTTACTTTTTAGAGTTTAAGGGCCCTTTGGTAGGTTTCGCACCCCAGGTTTGGTTGCCCCGCGTTGAAAATTAAAGGGTTTTAAAAAGGGTTAATTTTTTATAACAAAAATTTATTTAAAAACAACCTGGGGGCCCCAAAAATTAACTCCCCCCGGGTTTAACCACCCCGTTCTTTTTGCACAAAAGTCCCAAGGTCGTAATTAAAAAAAGTCAGATTCAAAAAACAAAAAAGGGTTTAAAAACTCATTTAAAAAAGGATTTCAAATAACCAAAGGTAAAGATTCCAAATTTTTTTTAAAAAACGGGTTTTTAAAATTTATTTTGAAATAAAAAAAGAAACAAAATAAATTAAAAATTTTTAATTTTTTTTTCCTTTTTTTATTTAAAATTGGGCAGCAAATGACACAGGTTTAACAATCAAAACATCACTTTTTGCTTGGTCTTTAGTTAGACTGCATATGTTTGATTTCATTTAAAAGTTCGTTTTTCCTTCTCGTTTTATTTATTATTTTTTCCTCCTTTGTAATGTCTTTCATCCTTTGCTTGACAAGTTTTCCATGGTTGCCTATGAACAAATATAAAATTATTCATCAAATAAAAAATAATTTATCATCATTAAGGTTTTATTCAAGATCTAGTGAAAGCGTGCTTGTGTTTGTAAAATTTCATAATAAAAATGATATTTGAATGAAACAGTTTTGTTAGTTTGTTCCCCATGACCTGAGATTATAACAGAATTGATTAAAAAATTGAAAAATTTTTTTTTTTATTTGAAATTTTATTTTCAAAAGCTTTTTTTTTTTTAAATTTTAAATTAAAGGTTTTTAAAAAAAAGTAAAAAAAATTTCAAAAAGGTTAAAACCCAAAAATTGGTTAGAATACCTTGGGGAGTACATTTTATTTTTGCGTTTTTATTTAAATTAAAACCCTTCCCCTTTTTAAATTTAAACCCCCTTTTAAGTTTAAATAACGAATTAAGTCGGGTTTTTAATCTTTATACAAACCCCGGGGTGATACCCAAAAACACTTACTGTGGGATTGCTTTTTTTCCTTATTTAGTTGTTACAATATAGTTAAGAATTGTTTTGAATTCAGATCCAAAATCCTCTTTCTCTCTAGATTTTATAGCTAATGTAAAATCGCCTGCTTTCTTTGCTCCTGCTTTCACTATCAATTTTCCTTTCTTTTTGTCGACATATGCACCTGTAAAACAATTATAATTAATTATATTTATATTTTCTTAGTTGTTCATAAATACAACTTATCGCAAGTGCTAAATGGTTCTTCGGCAATGAAATCATCAAAACAAAATTTAACATCGAGAAAAAATATTTCATAAAGAATTAAAATATCAGGCGTCGTGCGAAAAAGGTGATTTCGTTTGTAGTCTATGATAGTTTCCGAGTAATGCACAAATACTTTTAAACTGCATCATTTTGTAGCATATAGACAAGTGTGAAATAACGCATCATCCTGGCCATGCCAATATACTCGCTCAAGCCCCATCTTTCCTGTTGACGTACTATCCCAAAAAGCTTTTTGTTTAATGAAAAGGGCAATTTAACAAATTTTTGGAAGTCCCTCAGAATGTTCAGGGGCCACCACCTTTGGGAAATTCAGAAGCTAAACTTATTATCCCAAAAAAATTTTAAAAGAATGAGTTTATTTAAAAATTTTTAAAATTTTTGGTTGTCTTAATGTGGTTGTAATTTAAAAAAAATTTTCATTTGCTTGGGATTTTTATAAAGTAAAATTTAAAAAGGTTTAATTAAAGTGGTTAAATTTTTTTTAAAAAATTTTAAATTTTAGAAATCTGCTTTGGGGTTTATTCAAGTAAAAAAACCCTTTTTTTAGCAAAATTAAAAAATTTGATAAAATTTTTTCTTTCCACCCCCAAAATATTTTTTTTTTAAAAAAAGTAACCCGGAGGAGTGCTTAAAACAAAAAATCTTAAACTTTTAAAATTTAGAAATTTTTTAAATTTTGAAAAGAAATAAAAGCATAGCCCTTTTTAAAATCACCAATTAACCTCTTTATATAAGCATATAATTACATTTGTAGATAGATTGGTGATTGCGATTACCAATAGATGTTTACATAATGTTTGCAGTAATTGTAAAATAACAGTATACATAGTATTACATTTTAACATTAATTTAAATTTGGATAATATCTTATTAAATATGTAAATGGATCATACGTGTTCTCACTGCATCTGTGCCGTTGCCATCGATAATGTCCGAAGAGAACTCAACTTCATCAATACGATCGCTGTCTATTTGGAAATCAATGCTTTCATCTTCACAATCACTGCCTACAACATCTTCTGGTGATTTCAGTACCAACACCGGTGTTGTTTCTGATGGATGTTTCAAACCTGCTCTTTGTGCTTCATGTCCATATCCAAAACCTTCAATTCCAACATTAAATGGGACTTTCCTACATTTTTTACACGATTCGGTGCATGTTATCTTGAAATCAGCACATGCGGCGTTCGTTACAATATCATCAGCAATAACCATGATCTCGAAGAGGTAAGTACCTACAACAGGTAAGCTTATCCGGAATGTGTACATGTCTAGTTCTGGGATAAATATCACAAGCTGACTAAGGTCACTCCAATTAACTGTAGATATATCACCGTCAACAACTGAAAGTGTGTAATTAAACTCCATATTTTTGGAGGAGTTCTTGTCAGCAGCAAACGTGATAATGCACACACCTTTAGTCGAGTTCAACGAGCATGAACGTTCGGACAAAAGTTCCAATCCTGCTTCGTAGTATCCCTGTTGTAAGAATGGTAAAGAGAAGAAATCTACCAGACTTTTGTTCTCTCCAGGTAATAATTGCCAGTCCGGGTTGTCTGGGTAACAGTGGTGAATAAATATCTCCGGTTTTGTGCAGAACCAGAAATCATTAAACACGTTTATTGTCTGGCCTTTGCTTTCAGCAACTTGCTGTATATTTATATGACCATCTCCTTCAATCGTATATCCACCGTAACCAACGCCAAAACATGAACTAATTGACCATTGCGGATGGACGAGATGCCATATATCTTTTGATTTAAATGCACACCATTTACCTTCCTGTAAATATTCCTCATTTTCTGCTCCTGGCCTATATTTTAATCCTTTTAACTTTCCAGTTATTAGTTCAACTTCTATTTCTGCTTTACTGCAAAGGGAGATAAATTCCATACATCAAAATAAACCAAATAAACAAATAAATCGCTTGAAATATTTAAAACCAGATTTTTTATAGCATTTCATTCCTATCTGTTTGATGATAAATGTTGGTTTTTATTTTTCATTATCATACGTATTCGTTTTTATATTCAAATTTCATTATATAAATCATTTGTAAAAATCTTATATCAATATACTTGATATACAATAAACAAATATATCTTAATCTGATAAGATTCTCAACCACAATTATTTAATAGATCACATGTTTCCATTACATTGTTAGAATTGATATTAATGTTCATAACATAGCTTAATTACATCAGCAATTCGTGTTTAACAATTATTTATGATGGAATTCTGTATTTAAATTCGTGACCACAAAGGATAAAGAAAGGGATGACTTCGGTTCATGTTCAAACAATTCGTAAAATTTTGCTTTATACTAAAACACCATACCGGCAAAGCGTTGTAAACGAATCAAATGCACTGCCATATATAATCGCTGCCATTGATTGCGACGTTTTGAATGTACTTTTTCTTCGAGATATGTTTATCTCATTCAGGAAAGCAATAATTGCCCTTGCAAGATAAACATTCTTGTTTTTGTCATCTTTATTTATTGGATCCTCCAAATACTGCACCAAACCATCTTCCGAATAAATGTTGTGCATCGGTACCTAACATTATAAAATATATATATATATGCATTGTATGTGAAGAACACATAAACTTGCAGGAAGAATATCAGTCCACAATTAACGTTGTATCCGTGTCAATTGATCAAGTACATTGTTTTTTACATCCTGATTCTATTAAGAACAATATATATATGTAGTTAAAGTAATTACGATCGATTTTGCAAATACCATAAACTGTACACTATGTAAGTAATGTGTGTCGATTTTGTACATGTATTTTACAAAGCTATATTATTGTTTGTAACGTGAACGTATAGGCAAAATCATATTCATTTATGAAATGGAATCTAGTTTCTGGCACCAATTACTAACATTGCAATGTTGTTGATGTACATAAAATATGATGTACATAAAGCTAAAATCCTGATGTAAATTACTTTATTAGAATAAATTAAAAAAATAATTTGGTATAATTTTTTGCCAAATAACATGTCATTTTTTTTTAATATCGTGTCGAAAATCTTTTTAACTACAATACTGTAATTCGCCAGAATATGAATGATGGTATAAATTTATTAAAAACAAACAAAAACGAAATAAACAATGAAAAGTTCACAAACCTGCTGTGCATGTCGATCTATCGTGTGAAATAGAGAAGTGTCGACATCCTCAGAGTATGAGTGAATTTTTGACATTTTTTCTAAAATGTACTTCATATAGTACACTCAATCACATTTGAATATCTAAGTTCTTATGATTGTATCCGTTTATTTATGAAAATTGAATGGAAAAGTATACAGTTACAGCTTAACACTAATAAGAGGTATTATTTTTCAGTTATAGGACCTTGGCTGAAACTATTTAAGTAGTTATTTTCAAACTAGTAGTAAAATTTTAGAATACAGTCAATACATGTGTATCTTAATCATTTAGAATAACATGACACTACCAATAAACTAACTATCTGCAGTTCTTCCTTAATCGGAATCGGTTAAACTATATCCAATTAAAATCTTGCACAGTATTCATTTATGTATTTACATTATGTTAAGTAAATATGGATTGGTAATTATTAATTGAAGTGTTTTAAATATTTAAAGTCCTGAAAAAAACCCATTATCAAATCTTATCATACAGGTAAACTGGCAGACACGCGTGGCAAAAACACATTTGCATACTGTTCTTGTTTACTTATTGATAAGATACAATGTATAAATATTGAGTTTGCTTAAGTGGCATACTGTAGACGTCTAAATTTTCACAATTTATTGAATATACAAGGGACAATATCAATACATGTACCTTAAGTTAAGCCACAAAAAAGTACTTGTTTGTAAAAATTGGTTTTTCAATGTCACAATTTCCGATTGGCTTTTCATTTAAAATTACGGTTTAAAGAAAATATTTGAAAAGTTTTAGGTCAACAAGGTTAATCACGCAACTTCGAAAAGTAACAAATACGCTAGGCTTCGGCGACGTTGATTATTTAACAACAAAATATTAAGTGTTGAGTTGTAAGTGTATGTGTGTGAGTGTGTGCGCCTGTGTGTGCGCGCGCGCGTGCGTGCGTGTTTATTACATACATACTTGTGCACGCCGCGTGGCTGGGGATGTTGTGTTTTCTTTTTCGATTTTATGTTGTTCATTTTTTATTCATATTTATGAATATAAGCACGGATTTATATTACGTACAATATAAATCCGTGATATAAGTTAGCAACAGATGATCGATACTTACATATATTTCCAACAATTAACGCTTTGATTACAACGGCTATGTACGCCTCTTTCTAGAATACTGTTTTAGTGTTTGGCATCCATATCAAAACCTTTCTCAAAGATCATAGCAGCCTGTGCTTTGTTTGGGGATTCTTATTTTCTCTATTTTACATTTGAACTTGTTTTTTTACTTTACATACGGAAGCGTAAATGATGTAAAATTTAAACTGATATAAGCAATTCAAATTAGCAGCTCTCTTAAAGGGTTATAATAGTTAAGGGTTTAAAATATGCATTGATTAATTAATGCAGCATTATTCATATAAGTATGGAATAAAAGTTTTAAGAACAGATTAGCACTTAACACATGTACATGTCTGAAAATAATTTTGAAATGTAAAAACGTGTGTTATCGTGGGGATAAGTACTATGTAATCGCGCACCTGCTGAATGCTCCCACTCGGACCATTTTTTTCAGAAAATCCGTCGAATCGACAATTTTATTATAAAAAAAACGTAAGAGTATCACACGTTTAGTTATTCCAAGGATTTATATTACATCGATCGATGTACCTTTATCTGGTGCACGACAAGATATTTAAGCATTTATATAGGGTTAACTAGGAGTGTCCGATCCCTGTAATATAAATCCGTGGTTATTCCAAACGTAAGCACCTGCCTGCATTGTCGAAAATATTTAGAGGTGTTCAAAGTCAAATTTACCACAGTTTTTAAATTTTATGTTGCACCGGTATGTAAAAAATAAAAAAAAATGTTTCAAGGATTTCAGAAAAAGAAGCCTAAGCTTTCACATCACGGATCAAAAGAGGCTGATGATATATACGTAAGTCATATAAGATTCTAACAAAGGCTCTTCTGATAAATTTGTTATTGGTTCAAACAGTGAAAAATGAATGAAGTCTGGGTCAAATCGGATAGTATCAATTCGGATATTTTGTACTAACTTCAGATCATGTGTGATGTAACCGTTTAATTTAATTACGCATATGTCCTGTCTTGCATGACATTTGGTGACACGTGACCTTAATGCTATTTTAAGGTGATTCTGCTTTGTCAGCCATGTTTGTTTTCACAAAGTCTGTCCAAAGTGAAAGTAGGCCAAAAATTAAAATTCATATAACAACAAAGCTCTTACTGTAAAATGATGAACCATTTGAAAGTACACTTCCAGGTTTATATTTTAAGGACAATTATAAACAAAAATAAAAATGATTACAATAAGAATATTTACCTTGAATGTGCTACATTTCTGAAGACCAAAAACATTCTGTTGCAAAGTTTTATGCACATTTCATGAATGGCAAAATCCTTTTTAAAGTCTGTTTAAAATAGTCTTTAAAATATAGAACTGGAAGTGTACTTGCAAATGGCTGATCATATAACAATGTGAGCTTTGTTGTTATATGAATGTTGGCCTACTTTCACTTTGGACAGACTTTGTGAAAACAAACATGGCTGACAAAGCGGAATCACCTTAAATTGGGGTACGTTACGATACCGAAATCAAGTTGATTTCGGTAAAGTTACCGAAATCAACTTTTCATTACCGAAATCAACTCGTAAAAACCAAACTAGTTGAAATATTGCTATTATTTCTTTGTTATTTGATGAAAAATAATGAAATAGACTTTCAGTTAAAAAATCTATTGAAAATATTTTATTTTAATGATGTTATTAACATAAATGAAATTATTGAGTTACTTCCCTTTGTTCTAAACCCGTTATGTGTTTAGCATTACCGAAATCAGCCGTGAAGTTTAAATTATGTCTATAATTAGTAGATAATATATATGTTATATATCTGCATGTGATTGTCGTGCATAACAATTGTCTAATCAAATCGTATTTTTAAAAAGCTATGATCGGACTATGATGGAAAAATAAAATACTCTGTAATATAAGTTAAAGATATTTATAAAGTTTGTACATGTTTATGTTTTATGAAGAAAAAATATCCAACTTAACCAGAAGTTTATGATTTTCTATTATAAATTTGAATACAGATATATAATTCGACTGCTCTAAAAATGTTCCATAAAAATTGTATAATGTATCAGGCAGTAAAATTGGAAAGTTTGTGTCTTTCTTTTATTGAACAGTTAAACTATATATTAACAAATCGCTAACATATGTTATGGGGACTCTTTATCATAATATTTTTAAATTTTAGTCATTTATTTAAATGTTTATTACGACATAAACAGATGGTTCATTATAATCTTTTATCTTTAACATAGAACAGAACAGAACAGACATTTTATTAGACTTATACATAAGTATATCATCTTAATACATAAACATCAATGTTAAACATGTCACATATCTAGAACATATTACAAAAGTTTAATCATACATTGTATGCCAAATGTACCTCCTGTCTTAATTACTTCACACCTTACTTAATACAGTAATACACAACGTGTCAAATCGTACAAGTTACAACATTTCATAATTGAAATTTGTCAGTATAAAGTGTTCCATTTTTCCCATCATATAAATATATACCAGTCATTCCATAAATTTATGCTGTTTACAGATATGAAATTTAAAATGATTTTAAATCGATCAACATAAAATCATGACTTAACACTTTTTCAATAGGTAGAATATGTAGTTAAGTATCCGGGACATCAAAAATTGCATACATTTTTGGAACAACTGATATACAATTTGGTAATAATAATATCAAAGCACCTTGTCTCATACAATGTATACCGAAATGTTTTCTACGGAAACGTATAGCGACCACCCCTATATGTTAGTTAAAACAGATCTTTTGACAATTTATTTAATATAATATTATATTTTTACCAGCTAGTAGATCTGAAATATTTATACTATAAAACTATAAAAAAAGTCTTTTGATATATATTATATAGGGATGGTCGCTATACGTCATTTTATATTAAACTGTAATGTACTTTTTGTCTTAATGGAGACAAGCAGCTTTAATTTCATGTTAAAAATAATCATGTCTAATTATGTTGTTTGGATACTTTAAAGTTTCCATGCGCCGATGTATATTAAAGGATTGCGGTGAACGAGTATGTTATGTCAACTAACACCTCTATTGTCCGAGCACGTGTATGCTTGCTCCTTATTAGTAAAGGTGTTATGATGAATGGCTACTGCTTCGTCTTTTTATTTTAATCAAATCATAATCATTGGATTTAAATTAAATACTGTGATAATTTCCAATCAACTATTTCTGAAATTCATGCAAATTATTTAGGGGTTGTTCTCATCTTTGAAATGAAATCTTATTTGATTTCAGTATTGCAACACATTAATAACAAGGGAAGTAATCATGATATAATATACATGTCCGTCTATAACATCATCATTTTTATAATTAAATATTATTTTCCTTTGTTTATGGTTCAGTTTGAATGACTTTATATTAATTAATTAAACAAGATCTATTAAAATGTTTATTTTAACTTGTACAAGCCGATTTCGGTATGGAAACATGTATTTCGGTTCGTGACAAATCAGGGAAGTAATCTTGTTATTTGTTTCTAATTTCATTATAAATAATTATTTCGAACTGATTTTTTGCATGAAAGTCAAACTAAACCTATTGTAATAGATTATAATGAAAAAAATAAAATAGAACGCTTAATTATGATTTTACAAGTCGATTTCGGTATTGTAACATATATTTCGGTTCGTGACAAATCAGGGAATAATCTTCTGACTTCATATTTAGTTATTTGTTTCTAATTTCATTATTAATAATTATTTTGAACTGATTTTTTGCATGGAAGTCAAACTTAACCTATTGTAATATATTATAATGAAAAAAATATAATAAAACGCTTAATTGTGATTTTATAAGTTGATTTCGGTAATGAAAAGTTGATTTCGGTAACTTTACCGAAATCAAGTTGATTTCGGTATCGTAACGTACCGCTTAAATTGAAAACATGGCTTTGTAATTTTTAATAACAGTGTATTTTTTTCAAAAGAAAGTGGCTAGCCGTACGGGCCCGTACAGCTAGCCAAAAGTTCTAGCCGTACGTGAGTCACGTACGACTAGCCAGGACTCACTGTATTGTCTAGCCGTACGGCACTTTTCAAAATTATATATGGAAGTCGAACATGCATATGTTATTTTGTTCCTCATGATTATGATTTGTTGTTTTATTTGTATGAAAGGTGAATTTTTGTTAATTAAGCAAATGGATCGAATAAATAATAATCGGAGTCCGAGTGGAATAAATAAAAAGAACATTGAAAAAAAAATTGAAAAGCAAAAATAATTGTATAATTTTCAAATACAAATTCAATAGATAAATATCGAACATAAAAGCATAATCAATTAATAAGCCTAAATTAAAGACTACCCAGCGACTGACAATAGAATTTTAAAATGCATTTCACGGAACATGCAAACTTTCCTTAATGATGGACAAACTTCTATACGGTCGGTAATTGACGCAATAATCGGAGCCCAACAACAATAATTTTTACATTTTAAAGGTGTCGAAAATTAAACTTAATGAAACAAAAATGGATTATCATCAATATCTTGTAAACTACATGTATTTCAATTAGGGATTAAGCGATGATCGAGTATAATCGAAAATTGATCGTTTATAGGAAATGATTACGATGATCGATTACAAGTTTAATAATCGATCATCGGTAATTTTTTTTCTTGCTGTTACTTTAAGTGACTTACTGTAATTATAACAACAATAAATTAAAGCCATCTTTGGTTTACACTATGATTTTTCATTCAAAGGAATATGAAAGCATACTGGTGACTACTGGTGACCACAGAGTTAATAGTTGACAATGAGACATTTAAATTTAAAGATATACTGTGTTCAAATTTGACATTAGAGAATTAAGAATTTCTACACAGTCACTTTGAACATATAAAATAAACATGTTTTGATCACACACAAAGGAGATTATGTATGAAATTATTCCACACACTGCTGTATAGGGGGTCACAATAATGAATATGAACATATACAGTGTAGTGTCTTTAAAAAATCCTGGTAGTTGAGTTAAGAAAGGACCAAATTTACTTGTCCCCATAATAGGTTGCACCTTCGGAAGTTCCCATACATAGTTTATTCATTCTTTTATTCAAATTGAGACATTAATTTATAGATTTTGATAAATTTATTTGATTAAAATATTTTACTCGAAGATCTTTAAACTAGTGTATTTCAGCTGACAAAGTGGTAGTTACACAAAATACAGAATATTAATGGAATTCTTATAAATATTAAAGCATGATATGTACATGTACATATTAACTTTTGTTAATGTAAATATTTCGATTATAATTATAATCGATGATTGATCGAAAAGGGTTGTTCGATTATTTTCGATGATCGATTATGATTTTTGTCCGATTAAGAAATTGATGTTATTTAACTGCGACCAAACGTTATTTTTTTCTCAATGTCTTGAGATGACAATGATCGATATATTGGTACTTTATTTAGTGTAGCCAACAAGGAGATAAATCTCTAAAAAGTAAACATACGAAGACATTTGCTGTTTCTTGCTTAAAAATCCTCGCTTAAAGTCATAAAATAACATATGCATTTTCGACTTAAATCTAATTTTGAAAATGCCATACGGCTAGCCAATACAGTGTGTCCTTGCTAGTCGTACGTGACTCACGTAGAACGATTTAAGTGGGGACAGTAATGTTATTGTCAACGTCTAGTGATGTCATTTAGCTGCAATTTGATATATAGCTTTATATGATTTACGCAAGAATGACTTTGTAATTTTGACTTATACTGGACTAGGGGCATTCGGCCGATTTGGCGAGTTCAACACCTTGTCTATATATTATATATAAAGTGTAAAAAAAATTCTAGAATTATTTTTTTACACTATCCCAACACTGTGCCGGATCCCTTTGATCGTAAGTGGGCAAATCAGCAGATTTACGTTATTACCCAAGTAAATTTAAAATGTCAAAAAACACAATTTAGAAATAATAACTAATGGTAAGAAAAAGTAAATAAATTCTTGTTGATGCAAAATACATTTGAACTGGTGCGTAATGACGTAAATAATACTTAACACTGTACATGTACATACAGTACATCAGGCAGATCATACTGTTTCAGACTGTTTTAACCTTTAAATTATATCAGGCACCTTGGAAATCTCCTAGGCCAAATAAACCATAAAGCATACAAAACCTACAACAATGTACAATGAAGGTCAGAGATTTGGGGTAAAATACATGAACTCATGCTTTATAACCCAAATTGGTCAGAGAGGGTAGGGTAAAAAATACAGAAATAACTCTAAGAAAATAGAAAAAACCCAATAGATCACAAAACAAGGGGTAATTACCCAATATACACAAAATGTTATCTGTAGCCCTGAATCATTATCAATTCTATACAAATTACTCATGAAGTTGATGAATACTTATAAGAACTTAAAGGCTACAAAAGTTTTGATATGCATGTAGATTCTATCAAGCTCTTGAAATAAATTGAATTTTTATTACAGCACTCGTCAAGTAATGAATCTGGGTCACTGAAGGACAGTAAAGATGGCAGTGAAAGGTTTAAGCAGCTGTATGAGGTGTATTTTGTTGGCATTGTTCCAGATATTGTCATGAGTCATTCTATAACACGAGACAGGGAGGCCCAACTCGTGGATAGAATAGAGGAATCTCAGGTTAGTACCATTATCTTACCAAACTCTGTTATTTAGTAAGCATGAGTTTTAACCTTAAAATATAATTGTCTATACATTTACAATTTATGTTACAGTAAACCATTATTTTTCCAGTCCCAGTTAATTACCTGTAGTCATTGACAGTTGTTCAGAAAACTAAATATAAACTACATGTATTTTTTTTTAAACAAGGGAAACAACTCTGTACCTGAATATCAAACTTACTGTGTAATTCAAATTATCTTGATTCTGTTTTACAGATTGAGGGAAAGTTACCAATATCCCCACAGGAAGATGATAAAGTAAAGATTAGTGTCTCAATACATGGTGTCAAAGTATTAGACATGAAAGCACAAGTATTAATTGTTGTTTCTTATCCTCATGCCGAATTAACTCTTATAATCCATGCACAGTAATTTAAAGAAAATATACATTATAGATTTTCTAAACTGAGTTCAATCATCTTATAATGTCAACAGCATGGGAGCCTGTCTGATTAACACAATATGGAGAGCTGCTGGTCCACTGATCTTAGGTTCTTGATTGACCAGTCACAATGTCTTGTTTTATTACAATATGGTAAACTACAATATCGCAAATGTCATTCCTCCGGCACCATAAAAATGAGCAATAAACTTAAGTTTGCAGCTTTCAACAGAAAACAGAATAGTTCTAATACAGAATGAAAAAAGCAATAAAAAAATAAATTTTGTTTATACATGTATGTGACTGAACCCTCACTTTTGCCACTAATCACTCACTCTGACAAGGCTTAATTTGGTTTATAGCTGCCCTGACATTTTGTATGATTTGATATATAATCTCTTAAACTTTTAATAGACTGTTCCAATTTTAAAGCTGGGCAAGGTCATTACAAAAATTTCAGCAAGTTAATGGTACAATGTAAAACTGGTAATACACCAAATACTAGTAGAACAAGAAATAATCATGGCCTGCACCTCTACAAAATCGATAGAATAAATTACTTTAAATCATTTGCCTTTCAATGCCAATATTGAATGGCATTTTGGATATTCAATCAGCTGTGAGCTCAAATCCCATCTCTATGAATTCTTTCATGTGAAAAATCTATCCAGCTAGCTTAAAGGTCAGTGGTGCTACTCAGTGCTTTATGACTTTAACCATGAATATTCCAGTGAATTAACTTTAATAAATGTAGCTCAATGTTATCTTTATCAAAGTTAAGGAAGACAGTACAGAAGGAAAATTCCCAAGTTTGAACAAGTTTTTGATAGACACTACCTGAAAGATAATGTACACTATAGTTTCCTGGCTTGTGACTGAAATTTTTTTTCTGAGTGCCATTATTAAATTAATTTTGCAGGAAGTTTTGCAGCGTCATCCATTACATACGATAGCACAGGTTGTACAGTACAGTGACGGAGGAAGTGTGAATAATATCGCCTTTAAAATTGGAAATGTCAACAAATCTGTGTTCAGTGCATATGTGTTTGAATGTCTTTCAGAGGTAATACCCTGTCCATAATGTGTTTCTATTATTATTATTATACATGTACATTGTAATGATGTATCATGTCGTTTTCATATAATCTTATAGTATAAGTTGTCACCTTAGTGCAGTAACAGGTTAACACCTTTTAGATTTAATAGGAGCTAACCGGTTACTGTACCAAGGTGACAGAAATTGTTATTCCTCATTTGGATGATTAAATGGACTCAAGACATAAAATTTGGAATTAAAACATAGATCAAATCAACTGTCGCAGAAATATATGCAAAAAAACTACTAGCAGAAATATACTTTTTGTGCAATAGTACCCAGATTCAGTAAAAAGTGTTTAAACGCTCTTTGTATTTTTAGGTATTTTTCAGAAAATAATTATTCTGAACAAAAAAATCACAGTGGGAAAATGATTGGATATTTCACATACAAGTTTTTGTTCCATATCCACAAAATTATACATCAAATATCCACAAAATTATACATCAAATATCCACAAAATTATACATCAAATGCTGCATATATCTCAAAAAATGATGTTATTTCTAAAACATTAGTGGTGGAGTCTCTTTAATATTGACTGGCAGGGAATTTATAATGGACAGAATTCAGAGCTATCACATCAATATTGAGTAAACACATTGAGAAATATTTGTGATATTTAACATCATGTAGACAGCATGAAGATTTTTGGAATTAATTGTTTTGATTATCATCTTTATATCTTTGTATGTACATATTACATAATGCATCTCCAATCTTATGATGCTTGCCATTAATTTAGGCAAATCCATTTAATTGTACTTTGATTTTAAAAAAAAGAAACAGATGCATTAGATGTTACATTATTATAGGGGAAATACCATTTAATTATTAGCATATCATTTCAGTCTGTCCACTTAGCTCAGCAAGAGGGAATGGGATTATTAATCCGGGGGTCATTTGTTAGTTCATCAGTCAAGACATAATTTGTCTGTGACAAATGAACTTGAACATTGTATCTTTTGGTCATATGTGTCTCACTTCATATGTGTCTAACTGCTGATTCAGATATTGTGAGATTTGTAGTTGGTCACTTGAGGAGAAGTGGATCAGTTGCGGAGATATGACCAAAAAGTGAGTAAAAGTCCGCATGAAAACAACAAGAAAACAAACAAACCAGTTCAGAAATGCATTGGTAATTTAGTCAATTATCAGTTTTAATAATCTTTTTTTACTTCAGGAACAAGCACAAATGATTTGTCAAAATGTAAGAGCAATGTTCGACAAAATCACAGAAAAGAACAGATGAAGTTTAAGACATTATATTTTACCATAAAGCGTCCTGTGATAATAGATATAGGCAATGGTGCTTACTTTTAATGAATGCAATATTACACTCATAATCACAATCAATGTGAAAACTTGTTTATTGTCATATAATATACATGTATATTGTATTGTTACTTTGATTTTGACTGAAGCACATTGGTGAATATCTTTTTTGAAAGATTTGACTATGCTGGTTAGAACAACATTAAGTGTGAAAATAAGTGCTGTAATGACTCAAGTATACATGAAGAAAACATTATCTCAGTGATTCATTGGTACAGCTTATGTGTAAACCAAATTAAGCATATATATTATGGTATTTACAAGACTTGGAGTTTGGTAAGCATTAAAGTGACATTATGCCCATCCAAGGGTATAAATTAGTGAACAAGTGAAAGTCAAAATAAGTTTTTATTTTGCCATAATTCCTTTAAATATCAAAAAATATTTCACATTAACAGTAAACAATGCATGGATCCAAATTATTTTTCGTAAATAACCATTTGAATTTACTTGTAACGTTCAGGTCATAAAAAGAATGGGACAGTCTTTTTATATTTTAGGCAGATTTTAATTTTATATTAAACATTTTTCATTGTGAACTGATGGTCAATCACTATTTTAACAGTCAATATTTTGAAATATATAGTCAGTTCATCTCAACTTGACTATGAAAATATGAGCATAATGTCACTTTAATTTTGGTCTCACACAACCTGTCATCACTTTGTATACAGTATATAATTATATTTTATTTTCAACATTGCAGGCACATGTATGTTGATTATTGATAAAATGATAGGAAAAATGAAACTATGTTTAATGTCATGGTTTGGGACTGATAAAATTATAATAAATCCTATTGACCATGGCTGAGTGGTTATGCTCACTGATGAATGTGATTGATATGATAATAATTATAATAACCTATTGACTATGGCTGAATTTTAATGGTCACTAATTCTAATTCTAATGATGTAACAAGTATGGTAATATTCAAGCCCATGGCTAAGTGGCTATCGTTACTGATGAATATGACTGGTATCATAATGTTTGAGTTGATTGACCATGACTGACTGGTTATACATGTAGTCATTGATTGATCTGACTGATAAAATGATATTAAAGCCTATTAAACATGGCTTAGAAGTTATGACTTAGAAACACTTGCTTCTCATTGTTGTAGGGTCAGATCTCTAAGTTTTCCTTTATTTAATGTGAAGAGCTATCCAATCAGCTTACTGATATGAAAGTCAGTGGTTTGAATCAGGCACTCACTTCCGCATAAGTTATTCAGAGAGGGACTAGTGCTTTGTTCCTCAAACAGTATAGCTGGAATGTGTCAAATATACATGTATATAAATGTACCTTTAAAGGGTTGGTGTGAATGACATCAAATTATAAAAGCTTATTTTAATCACATATAGTAATTGTTTAAAGTTATAATATGAATAAATATCTGTTGTTTTCAAAGATGCAGGACTCTAGCCAATCTCTCATGAACTTGACAATCTGTCATGAAATTTCAACTGTTTCAATTATAGAAGAAAACCCTGAAAAGTTTCAAATTGAAGCATTCATAAATCTAAGTGAAACAAAATTCAATGTGTGTTGCTTGTGTATTGTTATTTTCAGGTTTGTTATGATGTGGATTCATGTGGGTTATTACTTGTATTACACTTTAAATGTTTATTAACAATTATGATAATATTAGTTATGCACTTCTATGGAAATATCTGGGTTTTTTTTGTATATATAGAAAATATATATTTTTATTTTTACACTTGTTATTTATAGCAAATAATGTAAATTAGTACAATGCTAATTAAAGTACAATAAAAGAGAAAATTTAATTTGAGTTGACGTTTTCTGGTGTTTTAAAAATTGGTTTATAAGGTATAATATTAATAATAACAGTAATGAGAGAAATTGTAGACATTTTAAGGATTTCCCAATGATGTTTTCTTGTAGAATTCTTTCTTACAATATTCTTCATCATATGTATTTGACTTGAGAAGTAAGAAAAAAAGTCAGTCAAAGCCAATGATGTTGTAGTTAAAAAATACAATGAAAAGCGGAGATTATTTTTAGATCCTTATTACATGTATTAACTTTGAAAATGGTATTTCAGAAAAGCTCACTTTTCCCTCCATTACTATCATAAATGACAACATTTTCTATGGAGTTCATTATTAAAATTATCTCCTCTATTACAATTTTGCTGAAAATTTCTTGTTACAATAGAACTCTAAAGCTATTGAAGGGATAAAGTGACAGAGCCATAAATCTCTGGTCATATTTTTTAAATATCTTTCTTGAAATTTTCTTCTCTCAGGAAGTGTAATATACTTGTCAGGAAGATCTCAGACTTTAATTGTTAATTAAAGTCCATGGGAAGATATATAATAACAATATGATATTAAAGTGATTAATTTTAAAGGGACTCCACTGAAGGTGTTTTTTTACATGATAGGACTGGAGATTTGGGTGCCATTTGACCAGTAAATTATGTCCAAAACTTTAGATTATTCCCCTCACTCCATTTTCATTAAAAAGTCATGCCTCCTGTTTTGTAAAATGACATAAATGAAAAGCATTTAAATGCCTTTTATTAATACAGACCCTTATCGTTCTATCTATGTAATGTTATGTGGTTTTGTATGTGAGTATATCACAAGTAGACAAACGTATAACTCAAATGAGAAATAAGATACACAAGTGTGTTCTATGACTACCAGTTTAATACTGAAGATAATCTCTTAACAAGTACTGTTGGACTACTTTCTAAGCATGCGCATGTATACATTTATATAAACAGTCTCATATTACATCTCTCTTCTTTTAATAAAAGCATTTGATTGTATATCATAACAAACAGACATTCAATATTAAAAATATGTTTTAAAAGTTTAAACATTGATAATATTATTGAATCTGTTTTTGAAATTACATATAAGTATAATTAAAAGCAATCATTACGAACTAATCTATTTATTTACACAATCATCGTTTACAGATGTATAATCATCAGTCAGTTTACTTCTGATAAGTATCATTCTGATAACGAGTACTAGGCTTTACAATTCTCCCAGACCGTGTTACATAATTTCCACATGTGTTAGCCAGTGGTTGAGAGTTAATAGAAGGGTCACTATTTTGTGGGAAACTTTTATCAGGTAATTTGATCTTTTGTGTGCACGATGAATCAAGTGCATTAGGGAGAAAATCGGTTATTTGATTTTCTTGGGTTTTGATTAGAAATTTCCTATTGCTGCAGTAAGTTGTGCCATTTTGTGTCTTTACATTGTATGACCTTTCTCCATTCTTTGAAGTAACCTTTCCTGGTACCCATTTTTTACCAAATCGAATACGAACTGAGTCATTTGCTTGAAGTGGACTTAGACTTTTTGAGTTTTTATCAAAATAATATTTTTGTTTTGACTTGATTTTCTGCATTTTTGATTTAACCACTGATGGACTAACTGTCTGTGGCTGAAGCCTTTTTTCAGAAATTGGAACTACAGACTTTGTCCTTCGTCCCATTAACAACTGATTTGGGGTATAACCACATTCTAAAGGTGTGTTTCTGTATTCTTAAATACATATATATGGGTCTTGCCTAGATTCTTTTGCCTTAGTTAAGGTTTTCTAAGCAATCGACACACCCTTTTTGGCCATTCCATTTGACCTACCTTGATAGGGCGATTACGTAATGTGATTAGATCCCCCGGATTCCGTTAACTCGGCAAATTCTGCTGACGAAAATTGCGGTCCGTTATCACTCATGCAAACATCTACAATTCCGTATCGAGACATGTGTGCACGAAGTATTTGCTCCCGTATGTGGCAAATAGTCAATTTCAAGGAATATACTATAATAGTCAATTGTTAGCAAGTAATTCTTTCCGTCATGAGTAGAAATGTCTGTGCCAACTTTCTGCCACGGTCTTTCAAGAAACTCGTGACTTATTAGAGGTTTCTTTGCATCTGAATTACGATGCGAGAGACAGGTACAGGTACTACATTGTAAAACATATTCTGTGCTTTGTTTAATCGTGCCTGGTCAAAAGAAATTTTCTTTCCCACGATCAACCGTTTTGTTCAACCAAAATGTCCAGTGTGTATTTGACCTATAATTTCAGAGCGGAGTGATTTTGGAATAATTATTCGTTAACCTCGAAATATCAGACCATTTTTATTTCTTAGTTCATCCCTATGATTCCAGGACTGAAGTATATCTGATTGACAATCTTTCCTCTGGGAAACCTTTTATGATAGTTTGTTTTACAATGACCATTTGTTTATCACTGTTTGTTATTTCTGAGATATGTTGCAATCTTTGATCAATGAAGTAGAGTTGTTTACGGACAGTGTGCACATGTGTGTCAAGTCCTTGAACTACTTCTGACTGCGAATCTGATATACATTGTCGAGATAAGCAATCACTGACCGGGATGTGTTTGCCTGGAACATATATAACTTTAATGTCGTACTTTTGTAATTGTAATAACATTCTCTGCAGTCTAGGTGGTGCGGCTGACAATGGTTTTTTGATTATAACAGCGATTGGTTTGTGATCTGAGTGTACAGTCACATGTCTCCCGTATGTGTATTGATGAAAACGAGTACAACCATACAATATGGCTAATAACTCTTTCTCTATTTGAGCATAACCCTTTTCAGTTTCGGTTAAACTTTTCGACGCATATGCAATCGGTCTGCCATTTTGCATGAGACACGTGCCTATTGCGTCCTTCGAGCTGTCAGACTCTAATGTGAGTGGTGCTTTCGGGTCATAATAACCTAACACAGGTGCTTCAGATATCATGTGTTTAACCTTTTGAAAGGCTCTATCATGTTGCTCTTCCCAGCAGAATTCGACATCTTTTCTCAAGAGGCTCCTGAGGGGAGCTGTCGCATCCGCGAGATTTGGCGCAAATTTTGCAAGGTAATTAACCATACCTAAAAATGTTTCTAACTTTGGCCTTGTATTTGGAAGACCTATTTCGCTTATAGCTTTGACCTTGGACTGGTCTGGTTTAAGACCATCCTTGCTTATTACATGACCGAAAAATGGTACTTCTTGTACACCAATTTTGCATTTATCTGGGTTTAATTTGACACCCTTTTCTCGTGCGCGCTCAAGCACGTGCTTTAGATTTTTATCGTGTTCTTCCTGCGTGCGACCGTATACAAGAATATCGTCGACTATTGCTGTTACGCCCGATAGTCCTTCGAGAATTTCGCTTATTTTCTGCATAAATAAGTCACCGGAAGCCGATATACCAAACGGAAGTCTAAGCCATCTGTACCTTCCGAACGGCGTGTTAAACGTAGTTAGCATTGACGAACGTTTGTCAAGCTGTAAGCTCCAATATGCATGCGTTATATCAAGAATACTGAAAATTGATGCGCCATTAAGTTTTGAAGTAATATCTTCTAAAGTAGGCATGGGAAAATGCGGTCTACGAATTGCCTCATTTAATGCTTTAGGGTCAAGGCATATTCGTAATGCCCCAGTTTTGGGCTTTTCTACAACGACAAGGGAATTAACCCAATCAGTAGGCTCATTGACTTTTGTGATTATCTTGTCTTTAATCATTCTGTCAAGCTCTGATTTTACACGTGCTCTTAAGGCGTCGGGTATTCTACGTGGTGGGTTAATAGTCGGTACTGCATTTTCCTTTAAATGCAAACTGCACTGACCATCAATAGTTCCAATACCAGAAAATAGGTCACTGTATTCTTTCATGACTATTTCTCTGGTCAGAAATGTTTTATTCTTGTCAGGGAGGGAGTGTTCCACAGAAAATGTGAGCTTAATCAGGCCAAGGTTTAATGAAGTTTGCAAGCCTAAGAGAGGGGATGCATTTCTATCTACCACATAAAACTTTGCAATCATTGACTGATTTCCTAAATAACAGGTCAACATGACTGTTCCCAGGATTGAAAGTGCTTCACCTGTATATGAGGTTAATTTGCAATCAGGGGCCTCAAGTGGGGTACTTAAATTCAGTTTTTGAAATTGTTGCTTGGGCAGAATGTTTGCAGCACTGCCAGTGTCAATTTTAAATGATATTGGGCATTTGTTTGGGCCAAGACAAATTTCGGTTTTAACACAGTCTGGAGAATGTAAGCTAGTACTCACCGTATTAATTGAGTATCCATCAACTGCATTGCACAAGTTTGTTCAATGTCACTATTGTCCCCTATTTGATTGACACTTATAGCGTTTTTCTGTGATTTGCACTGTTTTGAAAAGTGATTCAGTTTGTTACACTTATAGCATGTAGCCCCTTTTGCCGGACAGTTTGTTCTCTGGTCATGTCGCGTGCCACAACGCCCACAAACATTTTGTGATCCATGTCCTTGCATCCTTCCCGTCTTAGTGGGTCCATTTGCTGATTGTTTTCTTCTATAATGCCTTTGCGTCTTAACAGCGTCAATTGGTTGTTGCGCAGCTGCCCCCATGGTTGCCATCTGTTTTTGGCAATATTCGTAATTTTGTGCAATTTGTATTGCCTTGTCTAATGTTATTTTTCGCCTTCATTTATTAGTTTTTCACGTACTTTGGAACTATAACATGCAAATACAATTCTGTCTCGGATGTTTTCATTTTCGTCTGTGAATTGGCAATCTGTGGCTTTGTTTCTTAGCCTCGTCACGAAAGCGTCAATTGAGTCACTTCCTTGAATCTCGTTCATAAACTGATATCGTGCAAATATCGGATTAAGTTTTGGTTGCACGTGATCTTTATATTTTACATAATATGTGTTAAGCTTCTTGGCGTCTTCTGCACTAAGGTCCCATGTTCGGTACACTTCTCTGCCTTCGTCACCAATCCATAGCAATAAGTATGAAACTTTTTCTTCCTCTGATTTAGATTTAAGTGGTCCAGAAAATATAAGTTCCACGTTCAATTTAAATAGTTTAATACTGAAGATAATCTCTTAACAAGTACTGTTGGACTACTTTCTAAGCATGCGCATGTATACATTTATATAAACAGTCTCATATTACAATCTAAATGTATGTATCACAAAATTTTACTATCCAGCAGTGGAGTGCATTCAGAGGGCTGATGTTGATTTGATTGATTCATTTTGTGTTTTAATCACATCATTTTATTCTATCTGGCATTCTATTTTGTTCAGAGCATATTATGAAAACTTTGAAAACTACAAAAAAATGACTAAGGTGTCGTCTAGCTAAAGATACTTCAGCGAACAGGTTTTATAGTTCTGCTTGACCTGTTTACTGTCGCAACGTCAAAATAAAAGCGACATATAAAGTTATGGAACTTGTAAGGCTCCCACGTTTACAATTTTTTGTAAACGTTTACACGATTGCTAAGAACCGAAACGATACCGTTTAAACGGTGGTACCTCTATGTACTATACACACCATGTATTTGAGTCGCCAAATGATGTCTTTCTTTCTATTTTTAATACATGTACAAATAAAGAATGTGCAGGGCTCATCACAATTGGGTCAGCACACATTTTTTGCATTGTTAACCCATAATGCTGTGTGGAGGGTTGTAAACACCCATTTTCCGTTTGTTTACTTTGGAATAAACCACTAGAATCCATGATTACAGGCAATGATTAAGAAATTTTGTAAGACAATACAGTCATTTCGATTAAACGGTAAACAATATCGTAAACGTTTATGAATGAAAATCGAAACGAATCCGTTTAAACGTGTAATCGTGGGGGCTTTATATGGAAGCCAGAACTAGGTGTCGTCATACTTTTCTTTTTTTTTAAATTAGTCGTTTAAGACCTATATTTAATTATCACAATTACTATTTTACACGAAGACATATTATTCGGACTACCTTTGATATTACGGATACCATCCACATTGCACAACCAAAGTTCGAAATATTTGTTTATGATTATCTTGAAGTTCTACAGGGACATATCTAAGAGACTGCTGGCAGAATATAATATCTACTCTCATTGTGGAAACTCCCTTATAATAATGACGTCGAATAAAAAGTATGCAAACCGATTTAAAATTATCAAATTTCGCGCGACAAACGAAAGTGAAAGTAAAAATTTTTATGAATTTCAATTTCATCGACTATATTATCTTGTTTTAAAGGTTTTAGTGTTAGGTGGCACTCCACACTAAATTTCAAGTTTCTGCCGTCAATGTCCTACAAGCAATATGTCTGATAAATCTGATCCCAAACTACACAACCTGGAAAAAGAAAACACATTTTATTAAGAACATGTCATAACATTGCAAATCTATAATGAAATCCTCCCATGTGCAACAGTCAGGCAGTTAAAAAAATTGCAATTCATTCCGTAAAAGCCAAAATCTACAGTGGACCGAGACCCAAAACAACATAATTTGTCCCTCTGGCAAAACATACCTGCAAATATACGTGCTACAGAAACTCTGTCACTGCTTTAGTAACTCCCTATACATGCAAAATATCACAAATAAATAGGTGCTTGGCCTTGTAGATATTTTGCTATTGCTGAAAGTTTGTACCCCCTGTAAAATTACTTGTTTTTCACATAAGGACTAGGCACGTTGGGGTGATAGTATACAAAAGTAAAAACTAAAAAAAAAAAAAAAATCACCTCATGTATAATATCCTCGAGTGACCAGTTTCGACGCCCATAAGGATTGTTTTGTATGCGTCTATTAAAACCATGTGATTGTATTGTATAAAATGTTTTAACTTATTAAAAAATCTCTAACCTTTATGAAATGAGTGAATTTAAGCTGTTTTCCAGCTATTCCTTTTCAAGAACAATCCTACTTTCACTTCATCCAGGAGCGGCCATTTTGATTGAGAGTGCCCTAAAACGACGCTATTGATTGGCTAATTTAATTACACACTACAGGAGACTGTACACCATAATACTTTTACTTACGCTATTCACCAATATCAAGAGCATAGACCTGCAAAGTATCAACAAGTGAAAAATAGTTTATCTATTCTTTATTTCTTTCAATAATAAAGCATAATTATATATGGTAAATGCTATTGTTGTATTTTTACAGTGGTTTGGGTGGTTGCCCTAGTCTGTTTGACCTCCTCTGCTGAATAATAAAGGTTGGAAAATAGCACATTAACTTCCTTTGTTGAACCTGCAAAAACAAAATAATACATTTAGCAGAGCAACTTACTAAATCATGGCAATTCATTCCATCCAAATAAGATAAACATATCCAATTAATTTTCAATTAACATTCATTCATCGATTAATAACCGTTAAAAAAATATACAACACGTACAGGTTGCTTTAGGGTGAAAAAATGCGCCAAAAACAACACTATTGGGTAATTTTACTGCCATGTGACCTGAGAATGAGGAAATGAGGTCAGCAGACAGGGAGGTATTTTCCAGCCGATTTTTTCAAGGAAAGCATGACATAGTAAAGTGAGGGTCAAAATTGCATTAGTGAAATCATACAAAAATCTCTTAAATAAGGTATAACATGCTAAATCTTACCTTTGGGTGTCTTACTTACTACATATTGTTACCTGACAAACTAGAGGAATCCCCTTTTGCTATAGCGTAGTACAGTAATGACGTAAGCGGCAGCTTATATCAATTATGAGGCAAAATATAAATGGCGTCGAAATAGGGCAGCGTAAAAACGGGTCACTCGACGATATATAGTCTATATAGTTTTTAGCTCGACTATTCAAAGAATATGAGAGCTATTGTAGTCGCCCCGGCGTCAGCGTCCGCGTCGGCGTCTGCGTTGGTTAAAGTTTTTTGTAAAGTCAAATATCTCAATTATTACTTGAGATATTCAATTGAAACTTACAATACTTATTTATAGTAACAAGGTACATTAGATTGACAAGTTGGATGACTCTACCTACAATATTGACAGAATTATGCTCCTTTTTAACTTAGAAATTTTGGTTAAAGTTTTTTGTAAAGTCAAATATCTTAATTATAATAATGCTTGAGATATTCAATTGAAACTTACAATACTTATTTATAGTAACAAGGTACATCAGATTGACAAGTTGGATAACTCTGCCTACAATATTGACAGAATTATGCCCCTTTTTAACTTAGAAACTTTGGTTAAAGTTTTTTGTAAAGTCAAATATCTCAATTATTGCTTGAGATATTCAATTGAAACTTACAATACTTATTGATAGTAACAAGGTTCATCAGATTGACTGGATAACTCTGCCTACAATATTGACAGAATTATGCCCCTTTGGAACTTAGAAATTTTGGTTAAAGTTTTTTTGTAAAGTCAAATATCTCAATTATTGCTTGAGATATTCAATTGAAATTTAAAATACTTTTTTATAGTAACAGTGTACATCAGTTTGCAAAATTGCATAACTCTGCCTGCAATATTTGCAGAATTATTTGCCCCTTTGAAACTTAGAAATTTTGGTTAAAGGTTAAAGGTCTTCAACGATATTTACTTGAAACTTTACACATGCACTTAGGGTCATAATTGGAGGGTCATAATTGTATGTCACTGACCAAGTTCCACTCTATCTTGCATTAAGACTGATTCATATCCCCTTTTCTACTTAGTCTCTTGGTTAATGTTTACATGCAAGTTTTACATATCTCAAAATTATTAAAGATATTTATTTAAAACTTCTCATATGCATTTAGGGTCATAATTGTAGGTCACTGACAAAGATCCATAATTCTATCTTGCATTTAGGCTGATTTTTCTCCCCTTTTTCAACTTAGAAATTCATGGTAAAGTTTTGCTTGTAAGCTGTTATCTCAATAACTACTGATGGGTTTGTGCCTTTTTTGGGACAGTTTTATGCATTCATAATAATAAAGCAGTTATTTACTTGATAAAACATCTTAATAACAAGCCTTTGTACCTTTTCTGTCAATTTTATGTATTCATAGGTAATTAGTATTATTATACTCAATAAAACACCCTTGTGACATTACCTTCTAAATAGTCAAGCCAATACTGTATAATAAGACTCTCTCTATAAGGCCTATGAGGGTTGTTCGGAAAGTTTTGAGACTGGGTCAATATTTAGCATTGGAAAAGATAAAATCAAACAAGAGTTTACTATGTATTACTTTAATACCTCATCTATTATAGTGTAAAATTTCATAACAATAGCTTCATGTATACAAAAGCTACAAAGCGTTAGGCACAGACACTACCGGTGACCCGGCGCACGCAACGACGTTATCCGACGTTGCCGTTATTTCCAGAGTTTAACGTCACCGTAGAAAAGTCAACTGCTACTCCTTTTCAAAGTATCTTTCTTCACAACGTACACATTTCTCATGCCTCGTAACCCACTTGGCGAATACATTTCTATACCAGTCAGATTTAAATGTTGCAATAATGCTCATAACTCTAGAGCGCAGTTCAACTAGGTCCTCAAACCGGATTCCTCGTAGTTCGGATTTGATGGCCGGAAAAACGGAAAAGTCCATTGGGGCCAGGTCGGGTGAGTAGTTGTCTTTTGTTGACTTTCTGCCATCCCGAAACTCTTTATGCCATCTAAATACCAATGGTCGACTAACAGTACGTCCGTTGTTTGCCTGTTCTAGAAGTTGCTTAGTTTCTGTTGGCGTTTTCCCAAGATTAACGCAAAACTTAATAAAAACACGCTGTTCCTCTTTTGACGGTGTTTCCATAGTCGTTGTCTTGTCGCGCACGTATTGCTATAATGATCTGCGGTAACGGCTTAAACAACTAGCGGAAATGACGTCCTTAAGTTGGAATTGACGTCATAAAATTTTCATGACGTTTGGCGCAATTTTAGGGGCTCTTTTTATTCAGTAAGAAAACTTATAACAAGAAAATAGTCCGTGCGCCAGGATGCGTAGACAGGTGTTGCTATGGAAACGATTATATGCCGTATAGTAACGTTACAACGTTTTAAAGACATAACTCGGATAAATAACATATTAAGCTATAATTTGTATTAAATAATATTCGCAGCTGTAATTAGAAACAGAGAAAATCATATTGTCTCAAAACTTTCCGAACAACCCTCGTATAACATGAATTTATAAAAAAAATTAGCCCTTTTGTAAACTTAAAAAATTTAACATTATCAAGGCTCTTTTACTATCAAGCACTTAGAATAGTCGAGCGTGCTGTCCTACCAACAGCTCTTGTTTTTTTAGTTTTTACTTTTGTATACTATCACCCCAACATGCCTAGTCCCTATGGTATACATGCATATAACAACAACGCTTATACATGTAAAATATACTAATTATGCTTTAATTTTTCAAGTAACAAATATTCACTATGGTACATGTATAATTATGTTAATTTAAGTGTAAATATTTGACCCTATGCCAAAATTTTATGAAAATAATATTAATATTCCGTATTCTCTTCATATTCGCGAATATGAATTCATATTCGGTATTTAGTCATACCCTTGTAAACGTTTACACGTTTGTTAAAAACCGAAACAATACTGTTAAAATGGTGGTACTGTGTATTATACAATACCTGGTATTCGAGGTGCAAAACAATTACTTACTTTCTACTTTTAATACATGTACCAATAAATAATGTTCAGGGCTCATCGCTAGGGGGTTGGCACACATTTTCTGCATGCATCCCCATTTGGCTCTTTTAAAAGATCGAGGGTAAATCCACTTTACCTAAAGAATTATATAGTCACAAGTGATTATTGCACGGTGATGCTGCATGAAGAGTTGAGTTGTAAACACCCTTATTCCAGGCTGCTGACTATCATTGGCTTTGTTTGTTTGTTTCATTTTACGCCTTTTCCCAACAGTATTTAAGTCATATGGGCTGGTAGTGTCCTAACCATCGTTAGAGTTACACCAGTACTAGACTACCTTCCTCTCATTGGCCAATCGGAGTGTTGCTTATATAGAAGCCTGACAACACTAAATATTGGTCTGAAACATGCTTGTTTATGTGGACAATTTATTATAATGAACAGCGGTGGTGTATATATGAAACACATTTGTTATTCTCTAATAAATGAAACATTGTAAGGTCGGTGTTTAATCAAAGTAAATATTGTATGCTATAGAAGTTTCACACCCTTCAAAAAAGCCATATTTAGCTACGTTTTTTTTTATAGACTTGCAAACTCTATCTCCTTTCCTTTCACTGGAAATAACTAATAAGTCAATAAAAATTGATAAATTTCATATTATACATGTATGTGATAACTAGGATATTTTGATAAGACAATGTTTTCATGTCGTTTAAATGGTAAAAAATATTGTAAACGTTTATGAATGAAAATCGAAACAAACACGTTTACACATACCTACATGTAACCTTGGGGGCCTTAGACCTTTTCTGTTGTTACTGTTTTATGTTTGTCTAATGTGTTTCACACATGCCTTTTAGATCATAATTGTTAGTTACTGGTCAAGCGCGAGAACTGTTGCATGGATTTAACTAAAAGGTGAAATTATTCAAGAATGGTTCTGATAAGAGCCATAACACTAGCAGCATTACATTTTATGTTTAAATACCTTACTCCCCTTTGTTAACATTGAAAATACTTGCCAAGTGTTTTCTTACTTATAATGGAGCACTGAGAATAGTCAAGCACTTTGTATGTCTTGCAGCTCTAATTCTTGCTTTTGTAATTATGTCTAGGGTTCTCAAACAGAAAAGCATAACAGACTTTTCTACAGCTACAAAGTCAGACAATGGTAACATGAAGGAACAAGGGAAAGAAAAGAAAGGTAAAGATAATTATTTACAAAAGTTATAATTATAATTTTTCACATCAAGTTGTGTATATAACTTTCCATTATTTTCTTATTTGGGAAAGGTCAGTTTCAGCTGTCAGTGAAAATAGAAATAATGTACAAATGAATGTCCATAAATATAATATATAACATAAAAATGTGGCTTCTTGTGATTTGATTATTTCTCTGATATTTCATAACCCCTTAAGTATTTGTATAAAAAATTCAGCTACAGACCTAAAATGATTCTTTAAAAAAAATCATGCAAGACATTTCCCAACTTTTCAATTTGGCAATGAGACACATTCTCTTTTGGTTAGAATACTGGTATGACATAAACAGTGGTTGCTGAACTGTATGCTGTCTATAAAAGATTTTTTATGCCACCGCAGCATCTGCGATGCGGTGGCATATAGCGATTCACCTGTGTGTGTGTTTGTTTGTGTGTGTGTGTGTTATATAGATTATATAGTGAACTTAAAAAATCTTCTTGTGAAAAACCACTAGTCCAATTTAAACCAAACTTGGCAGGATTGATCCTTGGGTGAAGGGCTTCCAAAGTTGTTCAAAGAATTTCATTCCATGCAGAAATCTGGTTGCCATGGCAACGGAAAGGAATTATAAGAATAAATTTAAAAAATCTTCTTGTAAAGACCCAAAAGGCCTAGAGCTTAGATATTTTGCATAAGGCATTGTCTGGTAGACATCTACCAAGATTGTTCAAATTATAGCCCTGGGGTCAAAATCCGCCCCGCCCCAGGGGTCATTGATTTTCACTATATGTACATATAGTAAAAACTAAAAATACCTTCTTGTAAAGACCCAAAAGGCCTAGAGCTTAGATATTTTGCATAAGGCATTGTCTGGTAGACCTCTACCAAGATTGTTCAAATTATAGCCCTGGGCTCAAAATTGGCCCCGCCCCAGGGGTCATTGATTTTCACTATATGTACATATAGTAAAAACTAAAAATACCTTCTTGTAAAGACCCAAAAGGCCTAGAGCTTAGATATTTTGCATAAGGCATTGTCTGGTAGACCTCTACCCAGATTGTTCAAATTATAGCCCTAGGGTCAAAATCGACCCCGCCCCGGGGGTCATTGGTTATCCTTATATGTATATAGTAAAAACTTACAGTAAAAACTTTTAAAAAAATCTTCTAGTAATTGACAAATGCTAGAGGTAAGATATTTTGCATGAAACATTGTGTAGTGAAGCTCTAGCAAGATTGTTCAAATTATAGCCCTGGGGTCAAAATTGGCCCCACCCCTAGGGGTCATTGATTTTCACTATGAACATACAGTAAAAAATTAAAAAATCTTCTTATCTGAAGGTACAAGGCTTAAAGCTTTGATATTTGGTATATAATATCATCTTTGGGTCCTCTACTAAAGTTGTTTTAATTATGCCCCTAGTGTTGAAATTGCCCTGCCCCAGAGGCGCTAGATTTCCTTATATGTATAAAGTAAAAACTTGAAAAATCTTCTTCTCTGAATTGACAAAGGCTATAGTTTAAATATATGGCATGAGACTTTGCGAAGTGAACCTCTACCAAGATTGTTCAAATTTTAGCCCTGGGGTCAAAATTGGTTTTGCCCCGGGGGTCATTGATTTACATTATGTATATCTAGTGAAAAAAAAAAATATTTTTGTCTGAAGGTACAAGGCATAGAGCTTTCATGTTTGCTTTATAATATCATCTATAGGTCCTCTACCAAAGTTATTCAATTTTTTCTCCTGGTGTCAAAACTGGCCCTGCCCGGGGGCATGATTCTCATTATGTACACATAGTAAAAACAGAAAATAAAACAAATGTTTTCTGAATGGGAGAAAGCTTCAGCTTAGATATTTGACTTGAAATGTTGTTTGGTGGACCTGTATCAAGATTGTTTTGAATTAAACCCTTGGGTCAAAATTTTGCCTTGACCAAGGGGACAGTGACCTACTTTCTTGTCCTTTGATGTACAGCAATGAAATTTTGACCATGTGCACAGTTTTAGTTGTAAAATTGAACTTTGATATCAGGTGACCTAGATTTTGATAATGTGACCTACTTTCTTGTGCTTTGATCTACAGCTATGAAATTTGAACCATGTGCACAGATTAAGATGTAAAGTGAACTTTGAAATCAGCTGACCTAGATTTTGACAAAGTGTCTTACAGTGTTGTCCTTTGATGTAGTCATGAAATTTAGGCTGTGTGAAATATGACCTTCACCACCAAATTCACTAGACTCAAGTGCATGGATATATTCCTACTCTGATCTTTTATTGGATTAACAATAGATTTAATCACTAATCTGATAATAAGAATTAAATAGGTCAGGGATCTATGCATTATGACAATCTTCAATTGTATAGAAACAAAAAAAAATCTGTTCCTACACTACCATTTAGTGTTGTATTAATGCGGTGGCATAGCATTTTTCTCAAATGCAATCTTGTTTTAAATTTTTCATGAATGCTTAATGTTATAAAAATTAATGGCCAACATATCAATATATTTAAGCATGCACACCATTTTAGTGCTATCAGAAATATGTTGATCTTAAAGTATATGGCAGAGAAGCTTACCATTGTTGGTTTAAATCTTGCCAGTGACTTTGGAGTTGTTCATGCAAGAAAGCTGTCCAGCAGACTGGTCAGTGGATCTACACAGTTCCACTGTCATGTGTAAAAGAATACCATTAGGGATGTATGTCAACATTGTAGATGTGATTGAAAATCCAACTGAAAAATGTTCTGCAGTAAATTACATGTCTTTATTAGGTACAGAAGTACATTCTTTCTGCCTCCTCCTGTCCCTTGTTTAATAAGGTTTTCAATACATTCTTTCCGCTTCTGTCTCTACCAGTGGCTTTAGTCAGGTGCCTGTTCATGCTTGAAATAATGCAGTGGGGGGCACCTAAGGGCTTCCTGTACCAGTAAATATGGAAAGTTGCCTTATAAACTGTACAGTGTTGGTGTGATGTAAAACCCAACCAAAAACACACAAAGAGTATATTTTCAGTAAGTCCATGTTTTATTAAAATATTATATATTTCTATTTTACAGAGGAATTTGAGTTCTTTTTTGGTGCAAAGTTTGTATTTAGTCAGTTCCACCCAGCCAAGTTTGTGGTAGAAAAAGTAACTTACAACTGTATGGAACAATACATGCACCATCAAAAAGCAGGTTTGTATTAGATTGAATAATGTTTCTATGGGTTGACATAAGCCGCATAAGATCATGATGTGTCCTAAACATTTTGGGAGACATTATTGTTTTTACCTTCACCGTCTGTTCGTCCATCTGTCTGCATTCAGATTGTCTGCACATTTTGCTTTGCTGCACAAAATGGCCGCCAGAGCTAAAAATAGAAAAAAATCATGTCTGGCTTTCGAAGGTCAAACTGCTGGTGGAATTTCAATGAAACTTGACAAGTGTGATCAGTACCATCCCTAGTTGTGCACATTGCCGGCACATTCTGGTCGCTGCACAAACTGGCTGCCTGAGCTAAAAGTAGAAAAATCTTGTCCAGCTGTCACAGGTCAAACTAATGGTTGGTTTCAATGAAACTTCACAGGAGTGATCAGTACCATCCCTCGTTGTGCACATCACAAGCACGATCAGCTTTGCTGCTCAAAATGACTGACCGAGCTATAAATAGAAAAATCTTGCCCTGCTTTCACAAGTCAAATTGCTTGCGGGATTTCAATGAAACTTCACAGAAGTGATCAGTAACATCCCTCATTGTGCATATAACAAGCACAATCTGCTTTGCTGCACAAAATGGCT